TGGGATCCGAACCCTCGGCGGGAGTGCCGCCGCGCTCTCAAGTGGCGCACTGTAGCAGTGCACCACCGGGCCGGCCCCTCTTAGCATTTTCATATGACAATTTGCAATTTACATCAATCAGTCATTTATATCAAAATATAAATATCAACAAAAAAGTCACACAAAAAAGAATATCTTTGGATGCACACCATGTGCACCCAAATTCCAAAAGTCTCATAATAATAATTGTTTAATATTCCATACATGATGCTAAGTAATTTATACAGATTATACAAATTGATCCCTGTGCCAACCCTCTGAGACTGTCTTAGGGAAACCAAAGCTTATGCACAGGCCCCTCTTCTGGAGTATTCGCTATCTCCCTTTCTGTAGGATCCATCTCAAGCACAACAATAACACGTCTGCCCACATTTCACCTCCTACTCTGCCCTTTCTCTGTCTCACTGTTGCCTCTGTACATTTCCAGCGCACTCCAACCTTGCTTCCAGACCCATTTCTCCATAGGAAGAGAGTTTGCTAAGGTCATTCAATGACCTTCATGTGACCAAATCCAATGGACTTATTTTTTTAAACACTGTAGAAACTCCGACTGTCTTAGTTTCCTTAACACCATTCTCGACTGCTTTTGCTCCTACCTGTTTAGATATTCTTTCTCATTCTATCTATTTATTGTGGAACTTTTCAAATATACACAAAAGTCGAGAGAATATTACAGTAAATCCCCATACACCCAGCACACAACTTCAACAATAATCAACACAGGGACAATCTTGCTTCATCCACAACCTCTAGTGACTCCTCCACATATAATGCTAAAAAATTATTTGACATCATGAAATATCCAGCCAGTGTTCAAATTTCCTGAATTGTTTCACAGATGTCTATTATTTTCCNATGAAATATCCAGCCAGTGTTCAAATTTCCTGAATTGTTTCACAGATGTCTATTATTTTCCCGTTGCTTTTTTAATCAAGGTCCTAACAAGATGCACATATTGGTTAGGTGTCCTAGTTTCTTTTAATCTAGAACACTGCAACTGTCCTCTCTTGTCTTCCCATCTTAAGTCTGTGCCATATGTATTGAAGGACTTTCCACATTCTGTGTATTGCCGATTGCATCTCCATGGTGTTTTTTAACATGGCCTTCTAAATTAGTAGTTAGATCTAGAAATCTAGAAGCTTGTTCAAGTACAAGTCCAATTTTTTGGCAAGAACATTTCAGAAATTAGTGTTCTGTCCTTCCTGCCATCACAACAGGAGATGCATGACTAGTTGTCTATTTTTTATTTTGAAAGTGATCAGTATGTTCAGGATCACCCTAATCCATCCATGGTGACTTAAGAATTTTAGGTATGCCAATAAACAATATCTGCAGCAGTGATTTTCAATTGTGGCTGCGTACTGTACAGTAATCATGAGGATAGCTATTAAAAATCCTTGTACCATGCGCTTATCAAAGACTGACGAAACAGATCTGGAGTGAGGATTTTTTTTAAGTCACCTACTGGGTCTGCTGGGAAGGAAGAAGGAAGCAGTCCCCCACATTATAAGATGTTTACAAAAGCCCCACCCTCTAACAACTAAATGACAGCATTAGCTTCCCACCAGCTGTGACAAACAAATATGCTAAATGTCCCCTCAGGGGCAAAACCTCCCCAGTGGACAAATATTGATCTAAATCAGTGGTTCTCAATCTTCTGTGATGTGGAATCCCCTGAAGGGCTTGCTAATACCCAGAGTGCTGGCCCCACCCCAGAGTTCTGGATTGAGCAGGTCTAGGTGAGTCCTAAGAACTTGAATCTCTAATGCATTCCCAGGTGTTGCAACTGCTGGTGGTCCACACTTTGAGAACCACTGACTAGCCCCCTTATTCCATCAGGACAGTGGTTCCTAAGCTTGGTTGTATATTAGAAACACCAGGGAAGCTTTAAAAAGGCCAATGCCTACACAACACTAGAATAAGTAAATCAGAATCTATGGGTATCTGTTGAAAACTAAATAATTACAAAATACAGATATCGTGTTTGTATAGACACACATATATAGACAGATACACACACATACAAACACAGAAACAGATTTTTAAATCAATCTGACCTTTAATAAAAATCTCGTACTTGGACACAAAGACAACCTTATCAGATTTGTTTAAAATAAAGATTTTTACTCATATTTTCTGATCATAACCGTGATACTATGGAATGTATTTGGTTTTCATCC